TGATATCTGTTCAATGTCTTCCAAAGATGGAAACTGAGAGAGAAAACAATTTGGAAAGGAAATATGAAACATGAAACAGTAAAAATAATGAAGATTCTCAGTTTCAGGAGGTCCCATTTATTAATTGTTGCACTTATTGTCTGTGTTACTGGGGTTCTACGTAAGAAGAGGTCTCCTGTTCCCATGTGTTGTAGACTACTTCCCACTTTCTTTTCTATCACATTCAGTGTGGTCAGATTAATATTGAGGTCTTTAATTCATTTGGACTTGAGTTTTGTGCATGGTGATAGAAATGGATCTACTTTCATTCTTCTACAGGTTGACATCCAGTTATGCCAGCACTATTTGTTAAAGATGCTTTATTTTTTCCATTGTATAATTTTATATCCTTTGTCGAAAATCGGGTGTTCGTAGGTTTGTGGATTAATATCTGGGTCTTTGATTTGATTCCATCGGTCAACATCCCTGTTTTTGTGCCAGTACCAAGCTGTTTTCATTACTGTAGCTCTGTAATAGAGTTTGAAGTCAGGGATGGTAATGCCTCCAGAAGTATTTTATTGTATAGGATTATTTTGGCTATCCTGAGTTTTTTGTTTATCCATATAAAGTTGATCATTGTTCTCTCAAGGTCTGTGAAAAATTTTGTTGGGATTTTGATGGGGATTGCACTGAATCTATAGATTGCTTTTGGTAGAATTGCCATTTTTACTATATTGATCCTCCCAATCCAAGAGCAAATGGGACCTCCTGAAACTGAGAAGCTTCTGTAAAGCAAAGAACACTGTCATTAAGACAAAAAGGCAACCTACTGACTGGGAGAAGATCTTCACCAAGTCCACATCAGACAAAGGTCTGATCTCCAAAATATATAAAGAACTCAAGAAACTAGACTTTAAAATGCTAATTAACCCAATTAAAAATGGGACACAGAACTGAACAGAGAATTCTCAACAGAAGAAGTTTGAGTGGCCAAAAGACACTTAAGGTCATGCTCAACCTCCTTAGCAATCAGGGAAATGCAAAACAAAACAACTCTGAGATACCATCTTACACCTGTCAGAATGGCTAAAATCAAAAACACGAATGATAGCCTATGCTGGAAAGGATGTGGAGTAAGGGGAACACTCATCCATAGTTGGTGGAAATGCAAACTTGTGCAACCACTTTGGAAATCAGTGTGGCAGCTTCTCAGGAAACTAGGAGTCAACCTACCTCAGGACCCAGCAATTCCATTCTTGGGAATATTCCCAAGAGATGTCCAATCATATTACAAAACCATTTGTTCAATCATGTTTATAACAGCACTATTTGTAATAGCCAGAACCTGGAAACAACCTAGGTACCTCTCAATAGAAGAATGGATAAAGAACGTTTGGCACTTATACACTTTAGAGTTCTACTCAGCGGTAAAAAAACAATGACATCTTGAATTTTTCATGCAAATGGATGGAAATAGAAAACACTTTACTGAGTGAGGTAACACAGACCCAAAAAGAGTAATATGGTATGTACTTACTAATAAGTGGATTCTAGCCATAAATAAAGGACATTGAGCCTATAATTCATGATCCTAGAGAAACTAAATGAGAAGCTGAATCTAAAGAAAAACATATAGTTATCCTCCTGGATATTGGAAGTTGACGAAATTGCCAGGCAGGGGTTGGGAGCACAGGGGTGAGGGTGAGGTGGGGATAAGGGGAGATGGGGGGAGAGAAGGGAGAAGGGGAGGATGGGGAGTGCTTGAGGGAATGGGATGGTTGGGATAGAGGAGGGGTGGATGTGGGAGAAGGGAAGTATATATCTTAATTGAGGGATCCATTTTAGGGTTGGCAAGAGACTTGACTCTAGAGGGGTTCCCAGGTGTCCAAGGAGATGTCCCCAGCTTGTTCCATGAATAGCAGAGGAAAGGGTGCCTGAACTGGCCTTGTCCTATAGCCATACTGATTAATATCTTGCATATTACCATAGAACCTTCATCTGGTGATGGATGGAAATAGAAACAGAGACCCACATTGGAGCACTGGACTGAGCTCCCAAAGTCCTAATGAGGAGCAGAAGGACGGGAGAACATGAGCAAGGAAGTCAGTACCGCGAGGGGTGCGTTCACCCACTGAGATGGTGGGACAGATCTAATGGGAGATCAGCAAGGTCAGTTGGAATGGGACTGATGGAGCATGTGATCAAACCGGAGTCTGCATGTGGCTGACGGTGGGGGCTGACTGAGAAGCCAAGGACAATGGCGCTGGGCCTTGATTCTACTGCATGAACGGGTTTTGTGAGAGCCTTGTCTGTTTGGATGCTCACCTTCCTGTAGGGAACCCTGAGTGCTCTTTGGCCTGGAGAAGGAGGGGGAGGAGGAGTGGGGGAAGGGAGGGGAGGGAAGTGGGAGGAGGGGAGGAGGTGGAAATTTTTAATAAAAAGAAAGAAAGAAAGAAAGAAAGAAAGAAAGAAAGAAAGAAGGGAGGAAGGAAGGAAGGGAAGGAAGGAAGAAAAGGAAGAAAAGGAAGGAAGGGAAGGAAGGAATGAAGGAAGGGAAGGAAGGAAGAAAAGGAAGGAAGGGAAGGAAGGAAGAAAAGGAAGGAAGGGAAGGAAGGAAGAAAGAAAGAAAGGAAGGAAGGAAGGAAGAAAGAGAAATAATGAAGATGGGAGAGCTTAGTGTATAAATATAACATTTTGAGGAGGAGGGAAAACCCAAAGGCAATGAGAAGCTGAGTGAGCACTGCTTTGGGGAGCGTTCCACTACTTGTGCTACCACATCCAAATAAATTCAGAAGCAACGTAAAGCCCCAGGCTTTGAACATTTCTTATGTTGCATGGCATTCTATGTTGTATTTCCGAACTTCCACTTTTATGAATAATATCAATTTAAAATACTTTTTTATTCAATGTTAGGGTAGAGACAGAAGATGTCTTACAGCTCATTTCGTTCTTCTGTCTCCCTCGAGCCAGTTACAAAGAAGCCTAAAGTGAGATACTAGTGTTCTCTTCAGCAGCACGTAGACGAAAATTAGAATGATACACTGAAGATTAGCATGGCCCCTGCATGAAGATAACACACAAATCTCATAAAGAACTCAGTGTGTGTGTGTGTGTGTGTGTGTGTGTGTGTGTGTGTGTGTAAACAGTTTTAAAAATGTCAGGTAGTGGTGGCACATGACGTTAATCCCAGCACTCGGGAGACAGAGGCAGGTGGCTCCCTATGAGTTCGAGTCCAGCCTGATCCAGAGAACAAGTTCCAGGACAGGCTCCAATGTGAAAAATAATGTGATATGATGAAAGGAGTGAAAGAATGATATATAGAGAGACACATTAGGCTCCACCAGCACCTGAACGTCACAACACCAGGACTCATCTGCAGTGGAAAATTCAGCACCAGTTGCCCTATTCATCTAATTCCTCCTATTTTCTTTCTGCTTGGGGGCTGAAATAATCTGCACGGTATCTTAGAGGTTTCCACAGCCAACTGATGTGACTCTTCTCATGTGAAAGCAGTTCTAGCAGGAAAAGCAACGTGTTGAAGGACAGTTGTCCACTGCTGTGTTCTGTAATAGACACCGGAGAGGCATTAATAATGACTCGTAAAAATATTTACAGAAAGTCTCTAGGTTGACATCGAAGTGCAATTTTAAAAACCTAGGTGAGAGGCATAAAATAGTGACCAATACATCCTGGATACAAGAGAGGATGGGGTCTTTTAGCACCTGTCCCTGTCCTTGCTTACCTTCCCGAAGTCAGCACTGCTCGCAGATTAAATGCATCATTTTTACACATGTTGCAATTTTTTTACATGTTGTAATTTATTAATACACATGTTACTCTTTTTAATTTAATGGAGTCTGTAAGTCTGAAGCATAGATTTCCATTTTTGAGGACACACTGTCGGTTCTTAAGTTAAAATTAAAATCTTAAGAATTCCTGTAGCCTTACCTCAAAGGAGTGAAGCACACTATTTACTATGTGTAGTGCCTTGTAGCAACCACACCGATTATTCAAATGAAACCTTTCAACATGGCCATTCCATTTTGTCACCACAGACCAAATGTAGCTTCGGTTCAGAGCTACACCAAAATCAATGTTCAAAAAAAGGAAAGGACAAGCAAACCCCATTTGCTGGAAAATGTTCTATATCTAATAGCAAAGAGGTTTTACAGCATGGGCAAAGGGCACGTGTTGCATAATCTTAGTCAATTAAGAAGCCACAATATTGACAAACTGGATTTCATTGATAGTACATGGGATAGAAACTGTTTAAGAAGGGGATTTCATGGAAGCTTCAGTTGCTTAGCAACCACTGACCCATGGGGACCACTTCGTTTTTTAGTCTAAAATAATAGGTCACCAAATGTCACCAGGATTACTGTGAGCCTCACATAAGGAATTCTCCAAACACATCAGCGGAGATGTTGTCATCAGGGTCTGGCCTAACACTTAACACATATTTTTAGAAAAATGTACATAACACATATTTGGGGGAAATGATTCATTTAATAGATAGACCTCTTCTTTCTCAAGTGACAGTGTTGAGATAGGAAGCCATTTACCTTTGAAGAATGTGTGATCAAATCCTGAAGCATTTTTTTTTCAGAGTCAAAGAGTAGAAAAATATAGGCCCTTGCTTTATTGAAACCTTGTTAACCCTTTAATAAGTATGCTGTAGAATCCTGTGGAGCCATGAACTCTTGTTAATCGCCAACTGGCATATGAGAGTTTCCTAGCAACACTGAAATCACTATTCACTAAAACTATGGTCTACAGAAGTTGACCAATGGTCAGAGTAGTGATTACAGGTACTTTGAAGACTCAAAACAAACTTATTTTTGTATGAGCCTGAAGACACGAGCAGCTGTAGCTAAACAATGCAGTAATGAGACGTTCTGTGTTATTGTGTCAGACCGAGAGAAGGAAGAGTTTGGAGACGTCCCTAGCAGTCACCAGGGAAGATATAAAGAGTCCTCCAAATGCAGCCGGGCCATACCCACGCAACTGCTTCTTGCTTGCACTCAGTCTCCATGTCTCTTCTGGGCTATCCTGGACTTTGCAGAGCTACCTCCCATAGGAACCACTGCTACATCCCTGTGACCCCTTCCATCGCCATCTGCTCCGATGATGTAAACCCGGCCTTCAGACATTACGTACCCAGCAGCTGCCAAGGCAATCTCTGGCTTCTGGACCATTGCCAGGACTCTTGTTGTGAAGCACCTTGCCGCGGCGAAGCTCCCAGCCATGAGCCCAAGACTTGCACTCCAGCTGGGAATCCCTCGGACTCCTGTGTGCCTTGCAATTCCCCATCTGCAAATCAAGTTGTGAGTGCCTGCGAAACTACCAACATCAGATCCAGACCCAGCAGCAGTCCCTGTACCGGGACCAAAGGGTATGTATCCAATTGCACCATCGCTACTCGACTTGCATCAAAAGCCTGCCAAACTCCTCAAAATGGCTCCTGCTTCATAGGGCAGTTTAATTCCTTCCCTAAGCATCACTGTGGTCTCGGCAGCGGTGGATATAGAAGCTACGGAAATTTTGGATTCATCGCTAATGGCTTCTCCCCGTCTTGTTACATTACCAATAGCTACCAACCCCCAAATTACCTTATGAGATATTGCCAGTATTCAAATTATGGGCCTTCAAGCTTCCCATCACGGGGCTACTTATGTAGAAATTTTCAGTCTCTGAGCTACATACCTAGTGCATTTCCACCTCTGAGATACTTATGCAGCAATAGAAGACCTCTGAATTGCTACTGATCATCTTACAGCTTGCACGAGAGTTCTGGATAGGCTGATGAAGCAGACTCTACTCGGTTCTAAGGTCTCTATCATTCTGCTAAATTGACTTATTTATCTCTAGAAGGTTGTTGCACTGGCCTCAAGTGTAACCCTAGACTTGGTTAACCACTCAGTAGGTTAGTGCTCCCTGTATAAAAATCTGATTATGATGGTAGTGTTAGCTTTAAAACTCACTAGAATGGATTCACTGAAGAGACTCCACATGAAGGACAATCATCAACTCTTTTACTCTGGTCACCTGCCTGACACTGTGGTGATTTTCTGTCTTGGTTTGATGGTTGATTTCAACAGTTTTTTCCAATTGTTCTGCTTTTTCTGTTTGTTTGTTTATTTTGTTTTAACTGCCTGATGAGCATCTTGCCAGAGAAGGGAGAAATAAAATTGCCTTAAACATCCTGAATGAAGCTATTTCTTCCTTTCCCTCCTGATTGAGTATAAGGATGAGCAAATATTAACAACAAGCATAGCGACTAAAGAGAACACCTCAGAAATTTACTCTTTCAAAGAAGATACAAAGCCCAGGGTTGATTGGCAGTTGGCCTTTGGCCTGGACACTTGGAAGAAACCCTCAGAAGTGACCGAAATACAGAAATTATATGACAAAACAAAGAAAAAATGCTATTGCAGATTGTCTATGACTCCCAGAATTTATCTATGTTCTGGATTCTTCTGTAATCCTGCTCTATTGAATTATGCAATTCTAATTCTAGAAAAATGCCTTGACTCTTGATTAATAAACACATTTCTATCTGGAAACCGTGTCTTTCCTTATTGTTCATGACACGTTTGCTGATGTTTGGTCATTATTGAGCACAGTATGCATACCACTGTTGGTTGCTAGTTTGGGGGGGTTGTTTTGGTTTGCTTTTTTAGAATTGGTTTATAATCTAAGTAAAAACTGTATAATCTAAGTAAAATTATAAAAAAGGTTCACTATGAAATACAGGTATTTTGTTTTTGTTTGTTTTCTTTCTAAAATATTTAATTTATCCATCTTGTAATGTCTGTGATTAAATTTTCAAATAAAGAAATTTGGTAGAAATGTTTGTAAATCAATTTAATAAAAAGTACTTATTTCTATATATACTGCATATGACAATAAAATATAGGTACTATTGAGAAGCTCATCAATTAAATAAGGAATCTCTTGAAAAGTAGTTTTGGCTTATAAACTTCAGAAAATGAAAATAAAACCTTCAATTATATTATTAAAAATAATATAATCGATAGCCTAAGCATTTCTTTAAGTAAATGCTGAAACATGTTTAAAGGAAATGTTTTGTGGAGGTGAATGCAACAGGAGACTGGAATGTTTGAAAAGACCAATAGTATTGACAGCCAGTGTTTTATGGCTAGGGGTAAAACTCTAAGGTAGAATCCTTGCCTGGCCTGAAAGGCTTTGAATTTTACTTGTAGCACTTCAAAAATAGTTAATACCTGTCTTAGTTGGGGTTTCTGTGCAGAAACATCATGGTCATGACAACTTTTATAAACGAAAACATTTAATTGTGGTTGGTTCAGAGGTTTAGTCCATTGCCATCAAGGTGGGAAGTGTGGCAGTCTACAGGATAAACATGGTGTTGGAGAAGTAGCTGAGGTTCTACATCTGGATCTGCAGGCATCAGGAAGTAACAATGACCTCAATGCCCACCCCCAGTGACACATTTCTTCTAACAATGCCATACCTACTCCAACAGTGCCACACCTCCCAGGAGGACCTTTAGGAGTCTAGGAGTCTAGGGGTCGTTTTCATTCGAACTACCACAATGTCCAAAATTAAAACTTTCAAACTGTAAACATGGGGTTAGTATTTCAACAGTCAGTGACTGCCTACTGTGTGCGGTGAAGGCTTCAGAGTATTAATGCCTTGATTTTGTTTGAATATATTAATTGGGAGATGATTTTCCTCATTCATGTGTGTGTCTTGAATTTTCAAAGAATCCTATCATAAGTTACAAAAAATTACTATTCTTAGGAACCAAACAATGACTATATAGGACTCACTTTGTTCTTTTGACACAGCATAGGTGTTCAAGTACTTGAAAACAGTTTTGCGTGTGTTAGCTGAATGCTCAGTATCTTGACCAAATACGTATTCTTTCTCTACAAATTCTAAAGGCAAACCTATTCTTTGAGACATTAAACATGAGTCTTTGAGGTCATGAAGATTTAAGGGGATTGACTATTCTCAAGAATGGTTCAGATGAAACAAACATAATACTATATCAAACATTTAACAACAGACAACTTTCAAAGGAAGGGCAGATCATTTCTAACTGGAAAAATACTAGAACACTTTCTGAAAGAATTGACCTTGGAGTGATGTCTGAATATTTAAGAGACGGGGTTGTAAGGACTCAAGGATGAATAAAGAAAGGTGAAGGGGCAAATTGATGTGAACCCAAGTGGCACTGTGTTTGACTAGAGGAAGGGTGCAAAAATATATCACCAGTGTGGAAAATGGAGAGAAAATATGGGCATTAGAGCAAAGATCTTGGATAAGAAAGGTTCTCTTAAGTAAAAGATAAGCTAATTATACAAGATTTATAAACATGACCTTGATAAAATTAAAAGTTCCTAATAATGGAAGATATCATTTTAAAATTAGAAATAAAGGGAGGTGATGGAGCATGTGAGAATTTTTTGCTTATCACCTAAGTTTTCTGTAAACAGTAAGCCCAAAACAAATCTCTATTAATAAAGTGAAATAACTGAAAAAATAATACAAACAAATTCCTAAGATAAAATACATTGCATGTGCTCCAAAATTTACTTCCCTAACTATTTAATAGCTACAAAGTAAAAAAAAAAAAACACACAAATGTCTTGATAAGAAACAGGCAAATAATGTGAATAGATAATTAATAAAAATACAAATTTCCTGTAAACTGTCTAGTGTGTTAGTCTTCATTAGTAATTTTTCATTATGAAAACAAGATATTCTTGCTAGCATCTCTTTGTCGAACATATATAAGTTGGTAATATGTTAAATTACAAATATCATTTTACAAGCAGCATATAGGGGTGATCAGTAGAGTCTGTGAGGGTGTAAGGGCTGCAAAGGCACCAACTGAATGTTGGCACAATTCAACATCTTAAAGTGTCTCCTGGGAAAGTCTACTGCAGAGGACACACCTATGCCTACTTCACTTTGCTATTCAGGTTTTTTTTAATAGGGTGTCTTTGATTATACAGTCTATGCAGCCATAAAGTAGGATCTATTTTTTAATTACATGCAAAAAGCAAGTTGTTAAACCTAAATTTTACTTATGAATCTGCAATTCCAAATGTGAAATTCTCCCAAAGCAACAGTCCTTTGACTTAGATCCTTCCAGTACAATGGTTTCCAAAATTCATTGCTTTGTTTTCTGTAGACTTGCCTGCTGTCATTTGAAGTCCATGAATTCAATATGAAAATTCCAGAAAGAAACAACTGATAAGCTTTATGTTGAACAACAATATGAGTAATGAAATAAACTGTCACTCTGGCCTACTTGGGATATCAGTGATCTCACTGTCTGACAAATCTGTGCGGTGCAGTGACCTTCTTGTTAGTCAGGACCCACCTTGATTGTCAGACTATCAGAGCATTGCAGAACTTAGCCTCCCTAAACACAAGAGCGATGGAAGAATTTTCTTAGTGTATGTTCTTGTGGTTATGTATTAATGATATCAATGATTTATAAATTAAATTTTGACATTAATATGTAACTGTAATGAAATATATACTAATTACTGTATCTGGTGTTTCCTGAAGTTTTAGGCACTTTCTGGAAGTCCTGGAGTTTAACCCCATAGGTAAAGTAGGTCTATTGTATTCTTTCCAGCCCTCTGCAAGTCTCCAGACACTGCCAAATAAAACAAAACTCCAATCTATTTCATTAAAAAATCATGTAAGAAGAAATAAATGAAAAATCAATCTATGAGAAATTATCAACCAAAGTATACCCTAGTCATAACACATAAGTATTTTATAATTAAAAGTATTTTATGATTAAAAGCAGTGGTTTACAGCAGTACAAGTTATTATGTTAAAAGGCAAACTTTACAATAAAAATGAAGAGCAATAACAATGCATGATGTGGCATATTTATACCACATAAATAAACATTCCTCTCTATAATATATATTTCATCTAATTAATATAGTACATATTGTAATATAATCTACAAATTAGAACCAACTAACATGCAGCAAAAGTAAAGACTTGTCAACGTTGGGAAGAATTTCCAAAATAAGGGTTGAAGATTCAGTAAGAAAGAATGTCATTATAATTTAAAAACAATGGAAAAGAGTATTGAGAAATAAAGTTGATTGCTTCCTTTGAATGGAGAGAATATGTAATCACCAGCACTCTATGCCATACTTTTAATGACAATATATAATACCAAAGGGAAATAGGTCCCCGTTACCTACAGTGAAATGCCTTCTAGAAAATCCCAATATGCAATAATTCATTGAGATTTGCCAAGGTGAATTATATCTAAGCATAGAATACATAAAAAATCATTTACTGTGCCTTTTTATAGCATGGTAAATACAAACATAATGGTATACATCCTATCTCTGCCCTGAGATGAGAGTTCAAAGGCAACCTGGTTAAATAGTGAGATTCTACATTAGTTAGAGAGTAAAAGTATGCTTGTGTCAAATATATTTTTTGAGAAATAAAGATCAAAAATCTATACTGATTTTTTTTTGAGAAAAGAATATTACTTTAAGTACAAAATTCGTCCTATCCAGGAATAATTCTAGTGCAAATAATAAATTTGTCAGAATTGCAAGTTTGGATAGTAGGCTATCATCTAGAATGTAACCACTGAGAATGGAAAGTTTATAACATGCTAATAAAGAGTCTGTTCTATCTTGTTACTATGTATCTTTGCTGGCTGGTTTCTAAGGGCTAGACATCTTTATTTCAATGAATTTCTCTCACGTTGGGTAACACAGGGGACCTC